GAGTTGCACAATATAGCTAATAGAGAAAAACGTCAAGTCAGACACAATATTTCAGTGAAAAATTATCTGATCATCACAAAAATCAATAGGGATCATCTTCATAACAACATTGACATACAAAATAAAAATTAAAAGAATCCATAAAGAACTGTAGCCTGTAGAGTGAGCATGAGCCAAATGTGAACGGACGGACGGACCGACCGACGGACCAACGGACCGACGGGTTGATTACAATATACGCCCATCTTACGTGTGGGCGTATAACAACAGAAGATGAGGACAGTTGCAAATAAAAAGATAGCTTGCCAGGCAAGGTAACATACGCCCACTGGCAGCTGTCAGAAATGATTAAACAGTCTTTAGTGACTACAAGGTTGCACAATATAGCTAATAGAGTGAAACGTCAAGTCAGACACGATATTTCGGTGAAATATTATCCAATCATAGCGAAAAACGATAGGGATCATCTTCATAATGACATTGACATACAAAATAAAAATCAAAAGAATCTGTAAACAATTGTAGCCTGTAGAGTGAGCATGAGTTGCACAATATAGCTAATAGAGTAAAACGTCAGGTCAGACACGATATTTCGGTGAAAAATTATCCGATCATCATGAAAATCGATAGATCATCATGAAAATCAATAGGGATCATCTTCATAACGACATAGACATACAAAATAAAAATCAAAAGAATCTGTAAAGAATTGTAGCCTGTAGAGTGAGCACAAGTTGCACAATATAGCTAATAGAGTAAAACGTCAAGTCAGACAGGATATTTCGGTAAAAAATTATCCCATCATCACGAAAATCAATAGGGATCATCTTCATAATGACATTGACACACAAAATAAAAATCAAAAGAATCTGTAAAGAATTGTAGCCTGTAGAGTGAGCACAAGTTGCACAATATAGCTAATAGAGTAAAACGTCAAGTCAGACAGGATATTTCGGTAAAAAATTATCCCATCATCACGAAAATCAATAGGGATCATCTTCATAATGACATTGACACACAAAATAAAAATCAAAAGAATCTGTAAAACATTGTAGCCTGTAGAGTGAGCACGAGTTGCACAATATAGCTAATAGAGAAAAACGTCAAGTCAGACACAATATTTCAGTGAAAAATTATCTGATCATCACAAAAATCAATAGGGATCATCTTCATAACAACATTGACATACAAAATAAAAATTAAAAGAATCCATAAAGAACTGTAGCCTGTAGAGTGAGCATGAGCCAAATGTGAACGGACGGACGGACGGACGGACGAACGGACCGACGGGTTGATTACAATATACGCCCATCTTACGTGTGGACGTATAACAACAGAAGATGAGGACAGTTGCAAATAAAACAACAGAAGACCAAACAACAATAGTACAGAAGCAACAACAACAATAAAAATAAAGAAGACAGAATAACAGCAATAGAAGATGAAGACAGAAGAAGATAAAGCGACTAACGTAGTTGGAAAATTTCATCTAAACAGATGCTGAAGTATCAGATTAGGTCTTCATAATTTTTGTGATCTAGAAAACAGATTAAGTGTTAAACTGATGTATGAAAAGGTAAAAAGACTGAAGAAGAATATTTACTTACATTTGGCAGTGGACAGCATCCATATTGTCCTGTAGATAATTTACAACAAGTTGAACCATCAGGACATTGAGATTGTTGATCAGGACAAACAACATTTTCTACTTTTAAAGATTGAGATGATGTTTTCTTGGACCACATGACACTAGTTCCATCTTGTCTGTTACATTTACCAGCTCCAGTATCACAAGTTGTTCCTGATGGACAACAGTGGATTTGATCTGAACAACATACAGCCTGAAATAAAGAATCTGTTTTTATAAATGGTTGTAAAGGAGACATAGAACAAATCTAAACCAACAAGAGATGAAAGAAAAAATAATAAAAGCTTCAGAA